ATATATATATATATATATATATATGTATATATACGATTTTTTTGTGTGTTTCATCAATGATTATTGCCCATGTCTCAACTTATATATGCTCAAATCTTATTTGAACTGTCTGTGTTGCTATGAACTTTATGTATATGTAAGAGTGCTTTGTGTAGGTGGTTGAGGTGAATGTCAAAGTTGAAGAACCTGGCCTGCATAATATTCACAATAATGCATTCTATGCTGAAGAAAAGCTTCTCAGATCGGAGTTGCAGGCTATGCGTGACTGCAATCCTTCATCTGCACGACACTGGATTGTACATACTTCACTTTATTTGTATTGTGATTTATTCTTATTGACTCATTTCCTTATCTGCATGAGCTACAGATGCAGACTATTAAAAGAATTTTGAATTTAGCCATCACATCTGCTAAGGAATGACATCCAAGTGCATCTTTGAAATTGAACCTAGCTTCTTCGTTTTCTTAAAAACTCGTATTTACTTAAGCTTTTTGTAAATGTCATACCCATAGCATCTCTAAAGCTTATATTTTAGATAACTTTTTTATTTTCCTATATTACTGGAAGCTTACCATATTATTTTTATATTATTTATTATGTCCATTAAATGTATGAAAAACCACCAAATTTCCAAATTATTTGTCTTTGATAATTATAATTGAACAGACTAACAAATTTATCTGTGTTTCTTATTGGCTCAAATTAGTAATTTGTCCAATTTTCCCATGTTTAACCTATCAGTACATCAACCTTCTATAAGTTTCCCATAGGATTAAATACGTATATTTTTTCTTATTCCAAAGTCATAGTGCTGGCCCTAAATGTTTGCTAAGTAGTATATTATCTGTATCATTGAACCTGAAATTTCTATGGAATTTGAAGCTTTGGGCCCAGTGAAGTTACGAGAAGGGATGGGTGCAACTCAAGTTGAGAAAATTCCATGTGAGATTTTATATAATTCTGTTACTAGCTACTTGATTTAACACTGTAAAGTTGATGCCAAGTCTTTAGTAAGACAAGTTCAAAAAAAGAGAGAAGCTTCATTGGAACTCTACAGGACTATATTTCTTTTGTGTGTGTTTATATAACAAAAGTTATTGGTTAATAGAAAGATCTACTTGATTTGGTTACTGCTGGAATTGATAGAACTATGAAGAAACATTTCAAAAGCCTCCTAGACCTTGGAAGAGTTAAAAGGAAGACTTTTAGAGCTTTGAAATTATGTATATTTGTCTCAGTGGCAGGATAAGCCAATCAGGGAAATGATATGACCCCGATTGTTGCAAATTATGCATTTTAGTGTTCTAGTTTTATATTGACTTAACTAATTCATATTTTCTTCATGTATGTACTTATTGACCAAACAAAACTGATCTTGTTCGTTGTATTTATAATTTTTGACCTTCTCACTATAAGTTATGCATCTTACACTTTTAATGGGAAAATCTTGTTCTTCCCTCATTCATTTACATTTGCATCCTTATATTGATCCTGGCTGGCGGACAATTTTTAATAATCTTCTATCCACCTTTACCACAATTGCATTAAGAGGATAGGCTTTCATCACTCTTTGGTGACTATTCATCTGTTTGTATTCTTGCTAGGAAATGAAATGTTATAGCTTATGATGTTAATACTTGTGAGGGACTGTTGTTACTACTACTTTGTTCCTATTCTACTTTGTTTCTTATGCCTTCATTCTGATTTTCAGGTAAGGAACACCAGAACTGTAAATCGAACTGGTCAACCTGCGGGCTACAAGCTCATGCCTGGTCCCAATTGCCTTCCATTAGCTGGTCCAGAGGCAAAATTTTTTAGAAGAGCTGCATTTTTAAAGCATAACCTTTGGGTTACATCATATAAACATGACGAGATGTATCCAGGAGGAGAGTTTCCTAATCAAAATCCACGGATAAATGAGGGACTAGCCACATGGGTTAAGAAGAATAGGTCCCTTGAGGAAACTAACATTGTTCTGTGGTCAGTATCTTTAATCAGTAGTATGGTTTGGGATCATTTGGAATTGATATGAACACTTTTTCTTGTGCCTTTTTTTTTTTTGTTGCTTTAGAAACAATTCTGAACTCCCCGTTGTGTTATATCTTCAGCTTTTTTTTTTTTTGTTGCTTTAGAAACAATTCTGAACTCCCCGTTGTGTTATATCTTCAGCTTATACATGCAAGACATCTACATATTTTACTTCTGATATTAGCAACATTATGTTGACTTATTATGAACTTGGACTTGTAGGATTGGTTAATTTTGCTTTAGTTCTTTTGTTTTGGAGGCTATGTGCAGTTTCAAGAATCTGTGTGTTGAAATTTTCAGTAGGTTCACTGATGTTTTTCATACTAACGAGCTTTAATTACAGGTATGTATTTGGAGTCACCCACATCCCAAGGTTGGAAGACTGGCCTGTCATGCCTGTTGAGCGCATAGGTTTTATGCTCATGGTATTCCTACTTTTTCTTTTTCTTTTGGTGAATCGTTTTCATCTGCAGTGACCAGTTCATCTATACTTGGTTGGTAAAGCCTCAAACATCACATATCTCAATTCCACCTATATTGGCCCCAAATAGTTGGGGCTTTATGGCTTTTTTTTAATGATGGAATCAATTCTTTTGGCTACTTGTGATGTTTGAGGCTTTACTTGGTTAATGTTCTTTGTTCATCAAGCGAGCCTTTTTTATGTTTTATTTTTATTTTTCCTCTACAAGTTTGATGCTTCCACTTACTGGCTTTAAAAATTTTCAGCCGCATGGTTTTTTCAACTGCTCTCCTTCGGTTGATGTGCCTCCCAGTCCCAGTGGAGCAGAGGAGGAGAGTGTAGCGCCAAAGTTGGTCCCAAGTCTTCTTCTCGCCAAGCTTTGATGAATGATGAAAAGCCGATGATGCATCTGTATCCTGGTCATATATAAAGCGACACCTCAAAAGCATATGTCTTGGTTTTGTTCCAACGGTATGGAAGCCTCAAGCCAACCACTAGTCATTTTGCTTAGATATGAAGATATGTATGATGGGTTTAGTTTGCTGCTTTTTGCGGTGACTGATTGACAATGGTTATCTTTTAATTAAAGTTATTCCTTTCGTACTTATTAAGTAAATTATTGTGTATTTGCTTTGTTCCCTCCTTTCTGTGAGTTTTATTGTTCATCTGTTTGGCTTCGATCGTATTAGCTGGGCAGCAGAGTATAGTTTTATTTCGTATGCATATGAAATTTGAAACAAGAAGAAATGTGGCTCCAGGTGCATCTTGTATCACTCACTCTTTTAGATTTCACCGGAGATTTGCCGGAGCTTTGCCGGAGATTAGCCGTTCCTGCAGCTTCTACATCTATCGACGCATCCGTCCTCTTTATCGACAACACCATATAATAAGGACAAGAAGGGCATCAAAAGATTTCCATGCGGCGCAGTCTTTTTTCTTTAATTATTTTTTAGCTCATTGCCTTCCGCTCGCACGTACCTATCGTGTTTTTGGAGGCATCGGTGGCCAACCCAGGGCTGGACATGGGCCCAACCTTGCTTCCGACGGCCACCCGGTGTCTCGTCGACATGACGCACGCTGCTTGCCCTTTAGCTTGTATTTATCCCTTTGATGGTTTGATGACTCCGCCGCCCAATTTTATTCCCTCTTCCTCTTGTAATATACCTGTTCTTGGGATCAACCACATTCCTTCTTGAACCCTAACGGGACTCCGCCTTGGAATCCCCATCGCAAGATTTCACCTTTAATCCTTTCCCGGGTTTCTCAAATCTCACTTGCCGGTTTCCTTCGCTTCTCTCCATCTCAACGTCCCTGTTCGATTCCGCCGGGAAAGGTGCGTTTTTCCCATCTCTTTCCGATTCCGATGTTGTGGTGATGGACAAATTGGTAATTCATTCTTTGGTTGCTTCCTTTCTGTAGGTGATTGGTGATTGGTGATTTATCGGAGAGCAAATGCCCGAAGAGGATCTGATCGAGCTCAAGTTCCGGCTGTTCGATGGGTCGGACATCGGGCCGATCCGCTACCCTCCTACGTCCACCGTCGCCATGCTCAAAGACAGGATAATCTCCGAGTGGCCACGAGGTAGGGGTCGCTTTAATCTTTTCTTTCCGAGTCAGCAAGACAGAAGCTTCTCCTTTCTTTAGAATCCAGTTAACAGAAACTTCTCGTTTGTCATTATTGTCATTGGTCCTTCAGATCTTTCAACTTGTCGATTTCTGGTGATTCCTTCTCTTCACAACGATTTGATTTCGATGTTTTCATTGTTAGAATAAATATCAGAATATTGATTACCGCCCTGTACTATATCGATCTTGCTGCCTCTGCGAGGAAGGTTATCGCAAAATTTAGATTCTGTTCCTTTCCATGGCATCCATCTCTATCTATCCCCTTGTGAAATTAATTTTTGGTACCTATGTCAAACTAAACTAGCTGATTCGGAAAAAAAAGAAAATCTGACTTTTAGAATTGGGCTTAACAGGACTGATATTGTTGTTATAATCTTTATGGGGAAGTTCCTCATGTTCAATAATGTGACAAGTTCCATCACTCATAGAGGCCTCCGTTTTAGAACTAAAGTAGCAAATCTTGCTTTGGGCAACAACATCAAGTGACATTTTTAATATATTATTAAATATACATCGATGTAACACTGGATGAATTTGGCTATCAACTGTTTAATGCTTTATCTTAAAGTTGGTGATTTAGTCACATATGTTGTTTTGGGCATTTCTTTTATCGTTATAACATTTACGTTCATAGATATGCTGTTACTTTCAGTTGACGTTTACTCATTTTCCCTTTGTGATGTTAGCCTGCTATTGTGTCGGTTTTTTTAATGTTTTATTTTAGTCTTATATTGTTAATCTTTTAGTAATTCAGTTGTTTCCTGTCCTTGCATTTTTGTCGTAGATAAGAAGATTATACCAGAGGTGGCTAATGATGTCAAACTGATAAGTGCGGGCAAAATATTAGAGAACAATATGACGGTTGCCCAGTGCGCATCATCACCTTTTAGTGAACTTCCAGCAGGTGTGATCACCATGCATGTTGTTGTGCAACCATCTTCGACTAAAACTAAAACGGGTAAGCTGGATCTTGTTAGTGGTTGTGGCACTCTATCATCCGATGATATCTTTCTTGGTCGGTCTCTAAGAAGTTCGATTTGATGTATATAAAATTCCATGTCTTTTTGTGCATCAAAGTAAAGATCCTTCAATTGAATATTAGCAGGTTGGTTCTAATGCCAGGAACGCCTCCAATTAATCCAACTTGGAACAATTGAATTTCTATATGAAGCTCTTTTAAAGACTCATAGGTCATGTTTCAAAAACTTGCACCTGTACTATCAATTGATCTGTCAAATATCAAAGTTGCTTCGCTTGTAATTCTCTTTAGCTTGATGAAACACCCAGCTATTTCACCCCATTTTGTCTACCTACTACTCCGATCTGTAAATTTATTTTTGAGTTTTAATGTAATGTGTGTTTTCCTTCAAATTTAAAATGATTGTTGCTGACTTATTTTTTCTAATGACATAAGAAAAAAGGATCGATGAGTCGCCAAAGAAGACAGCCTGTTCTTGCTCTATATTGTAGAGCAAGAAGCCATTTGTTAAGTGTGTGACCGGCAGCAACTATATCGTCTGCCAGCAACTCTATATTGTATTATTTTCTTAGAGGAAGATGTCATACGATGATGTGAGGCGAATGCTCTTTCACAGCTTGCCTCGAAACAGATGGATCTGACCCGGGAAGAGAGTGGCCTGTATGTAGCAGAGTCTAACACAAGGCATTGCAGACTACAGTTTTCTCTACACACCACCTGTATATCGATCGCGTTGACTGCAGAATCAATTCGATATATTCTTGGTGTGTTTATGTTGTCTCCATATTGGCCCTGGTTTCAGATATGTTGGTGATAAGCGGAAGAAGGATCTTGTTGAAGCATTTGTGTGACAGGATAAGCTCAAACACTTGCAATGAGGATAAACTGGTGGTAGTCAACTGATGCATTCATTCTTGTAGTCACTGTATTCTTTGGGGATGCAAGGCCATCGAGAAGGTAATTGAATTATGATACTATCAACTTGTACCTTTGATTTTTGTTTATTTAAGAACATCCTAATTATGTTGTTAGCTTTTCAGGAAGTAAAAGAATTAGACAATGGGTTTGAAAGCAGAAAAGGACTCCATTGGATGAAGAAAAGAGGAAATGTGCCCTCAAATAGAAAGAAGTTTGGTGCGAGTAAATACTATTAGCAAACTAGCAGACAAGTCCTTTTCTTGCTTCAACCACTGACAGAGAACCAAGTGATGTCGTAGGACATTGGTGGTGAGCAGAAGCTAATGTTCTTCGATGACTTATCATCTTCTAGCAGAATAGTAATCTCTCATTGTCTCATCTGCATGTAGAGACATTATTGCTGAAAGAAGAACAACACAATCACTCATCCTCCATCTTCTTATATCTCCATCAGATCTTGCAATCGTGCCATTGCTGAGCTTGGGAGCCCGAGAAGCACGTTGATGCCCTTCCTCTTCCTCTCCTTCCCATGGGACAGGAACAGGATCACCTCCTTCTCAGGTAGAGTCACAGGCCCGGACTGCACTGGCTCCCCCCACCCGAAGTCCGTGGTGTGGAAGGACAGCCGAGACCAGGTTGTGATCAGAAGAGTGGCCGTCAACGAAGGCCTCGCCCTCGTGGCTTCGAAGTAGTCCATCGCCGATCTCATGTATTCATCAGTCACCGTCTTGACTGCGTCTTGCACCAGTCCGACGGCGAACGAGAGCGGGCGGCCCAGAAGCTCCCCTGCCGTGCTCAGGCAGCCGGTGAGCATTGTGCCGTTGCCGAAGTAGCCCTGCGGCAGCGGGGGATCGAATCGGGACCGCCCGTCGACCGCGAACAGGAGCTTCGTCTTTTGCCCCGGCTGCAGCCTCAGGGCCTCCGTCCGGGCTCTCCACACGTGGCCGGAGAGCGCCTCGAAGGTCGTGCACTTGGCGAGAGCTCCGTCTTCCAGAGCTCTCCTCTTCACGCGTCCGAGCTTCTCAGGCTCGAAGCAGAAGGACCTGTACGCCATCTCTTCACCGTACAGTGCCGTGGTGTCGGAGACGTCTTCGATCTCGGCGAACTCGTGGTGGGGGAAACTGACGAGAGGAGGATTTCGAGACTCGAGAACGGTGCGGTCGACGAACGGCGGCACCGATATCGGCAGGCCTCGTGCCGTTTCGCCCCAGGAGTTGACGAACTCCATCGCGCCCAGCCCATCGAACATGCAGTGGTTGACGGCTAGCCCAAGGATGAATCCCCCGCTCCTGAACGTAGTGACCTGAAGGAAGCACGCGATGAGCTTCCGATGATTGTATGATCGAAACAAGCTGCAAGGGTGCGAGTTCCGAACCTGAACGACCAATGGCGGCATCTCCAGCAAGTTATTGGCACCGAGAATGGTGTAGACGAGCTTGCCGAGAGTGTCGGGGTTAGGCTTCGTGATGTCGCCAACGTCCTCCATCTCGCAATCTGCTTCAGCCTTCACGAATACCGCCCCTTCTCCGGTGCAATCGACGATGAGCTTCCCCTCGTCGCTGATCGCCAGCCGCCCGGCGAGCGGGTAGTAGTGAACGAGGACCTTCGCCAGAGCCGCCTTGATCACTTGCGCAGCTTCCTCGTTCCCCTTCTCCTGCGACCTGAAGCAGTATACGGTCCGAACTATGACCGCAATGTTCTGGTCGAGGTTGGAGAGGAAGTAGAGGCCCTTCGCCGTCTCTTCCTCCGGCGGAACAAGCGTCGGTTCCCCTTGCTCCACACAGAGTTCAAACTTCTCTCTCGGCTCTGGAATCTGACCACCGCATACACAAACAAAAAGTATAGTCTCTGCACGTCAACCATACATACCATCAAAACATAGAACTGAGTTGAGATGTCGTCTACCATGTTCGACAGCTGAGACATCTGATTAGGAGCTCGAGAAAGAAGACGAGAGATGGTTGGTTCCATGGGGCTAACACACGGTGCAATTTATAGAGAGCTTGAGACGAGAAGTCGACTGGTGGATGGGCGGGATGAAGTGCACAGCTAACAGTTTTGAGAGCTCAGAGGATGTGAGCCATCACGATCTCTTCTGTTGATGTGATTGACCTCCCAACCTACAGGACTCCCATATCATTGGCCCAAATCAGCAAAGTTGCATTGCGAGTGATGATTACCATGGATGACAATAATAGATCATGCTGGTCATTGAATGTTAGGATGCTGCAATCTTGGACTGCCAGTGTGATGTCAGTGTCACTGGATTAAGTGTCATAAATTGCATTGCTGTAGAGGCGGGTGCAGACTCCATCACACCACAAGTAGCAAGGTTGCATGCATGGAGGAGGTCACGAGTCACACGGAAGGGGCTGTTGGCCTATTTATGCTTTGGTCAGCCTAAAATAGTCAACTAATAATAGTGTGTTGAGATTCTCAAATCTATCACATCTATAGGGCAGGCTGCCTCATTTGATCTGTATATATTGTATGATATGTATACCATCTGATTTGGTGAAATACTTTACCACAATCAATCCATAATCATCTTCCATACATGGAAAAGGCTAGAATTTAAATTCTCATATTTGTCATTTTAGGATAAATTGAAGATCCATAATCCAACCACATTACTTTCTTAACACCCATCTTTTTCCTCTGCTAATTTTCTTGACACCAAATGCATTGGATGGATTCCTTGGACTTAAAAGAGCATGCCATCTATGTACATCAAATAGTGTCTATTTACAATAGTGTAATTATTGCTCATCCTTCCATCACATTCGGTATACTTCTCATCCTGGACTATCTACAGAGTGTTGCTGCTGGATGTTTGTCTTTGATGTCGTACCTAACTTTTTTCGGTATCATCTTTGCATGCTAATCGTCTTCCATGAGTGTGATTTGGTGTTCATGAGTAGGATCTGATCAGTCGAAAGCTCTGAAACGAGGCCCTGAAGAGGTTGCCAAAGAAGAAACTGACAGTGCTGACCACCTCTGGAGGAGGCTTCGCTTCGAGTAGAGGGTTCTGCTTCACCCTTACTATCGTCTGCCCGAGCTGTCTGCGTATCGAATCGATCGTCTTGGCATCCACAGGGTTGCCTGATGTCTCAGAAAGATGGAAGGTGTCTACTTCTTTGCCTCCCTCGGTCGAAATCTCTGCTCTTCTGATGGTCAAGCCATTCTCTCGGAATACCCTTGTGATCTCTGAGAGAGAGCCAACTTCGTCCTCTGTCTTCAGCTCCAATTCGAGACCCTGCACATGGGCAAAGATGATATAAGTAACGCAAGCAGTGAAAACCATTCACAATATTTGGGAATTCGATCGTACATCTGAAGCTCTTCTCTCTACAGCTGCCTCAAGACACTGAATCAGATGCTGTTGCTCGACCTCTGAGCTTATGGGGAGGCCATCTACATGTCTTATATAGTATTCCTTCAATCGGACTCGAAAGATTAGGACTGGCTTAAAGGAAACAGTATAGCTTACACATGATACGTACCTGATAAGCTTCTTCCTTTCCTGCACTGGCAGTCCCATGAAACACAACATACTGCATGTCTGTGAGTGTGCAAATGGTGTCAAACAGAAGCTTGGGCCGGTCCTTGGATCTCAAGATTACCACAGTGTAGTCCTTCTCGGAACAGTCCATCACAGTGACTTGGGGTCTAGATTTATTCCCCACAGCTTCTTTCACTTCAACCCTCTCATAATCCCGGTCATGGAACATCATCTGATGCAACCTCCTCTCTGTGTGGGTGAGCCCCATCGACACGGTCATCGTCCCCATCCTTGGATCATGATCACCTCTAAGAACATTGCAGAGGAGCTCCTTGAGGGTGGAGAGCTGTTGGGGGTCTTCGATTGCTCCCTCGGTGGACTCATGGGTGACATGAAGCACTGCTGCAACTCTGTTGTTGTGTGTCCATAGCTCAGCTTTCACCACATGACTCATCTGGGTTGCAAGAACAGCGCATATTTCGGATAGCAATCCAGGCCTGTCGGAGCCTGTTATCTCAATTAATGTGTCCTCTGTTGACGGCATTATACCGACTGAATTCTGAAGCTTGGGGAATAAGCAAGCCTCTGACTCCAGGGACTGGACAAACGTAATAACAAACAGAAAACAATCAAGCTGATGCCATTTATCTAACATGTTCGTCAAGCAATGGTGGCAAAGTTTGTCTCATGAAACTGGTGATTTGAGCTGATATATATGAATGTTGAGAAGAACAAATGAAGAAAAATATGCTAGATTCGGATAGAACTCATCATGTATGTTATAGTTGAGCTAAAAGTAATGGAAATATGCCACACTAAAAATTTTAATTAATACCTTTTTAATGTAGGAGATGATCTCCTCATCCCACAGTTTGTTTCCATCGCAGTCGGTCACATTAAATACTGGAAAATGAGAAGAATTAGGAACTATTTCTTCCCTTTGTTCGATCTTATTGAGACTCGGAGAGCATACCATCCATGAACCAACTTCCATCCGAAGATATATAGGCCTTTCTGATGACAAGGTCCAGATCAGTGAGGACTTGAACAACTTCTAGCAGAATCCCATGCTTGTTGACACTATCCACCTAAAACAATGAACACGTACAATATCTAAGAGACAATTCATCAAAAACAAAGCATGCAACCTTTGGTTCTGCAGTGATTTAAGCTTATGTTCACTCAAAAAGCCTCTCACTTACTCTAATAACTGTTGCATCACCGCAAGAATCATTATCTATCACAACCCTGCATTGCAGAACCAAAGACATGAGGTGAGATTCCAAAGAAAAAGTTTGAAGCAAAAGTAATGAGGTAGAATGAAAGAATCTTAAAAATGAACAAACAACAACAAGGAATCTTTTTTGTTTCTTTTGCGAAGATTCGGTGCTCAGAAAGGCCAAAGCAAAAGCCATGGAAAAGGGATTCCATCCGATCACAACATGACTCAAAAATGTGGAAGAACCCTAAACCAATGAAGACCCAAAGAAAAAGTACAAAGGGAGGATTACTCACACCTGATAATCACATCCAACACAAGATATCTAAGATTGAAACAAACCATGCTGAAATGATGTGAGAATAAGAACCAGAAAAGAGATGCCATTGCAGAGCCCAGCTGACAAAATAATTCAAGCAGATCAAAGCATCCAAAACACTAAGAACACTAAATCAAGAACAGAGCGAACTACGCAAAACAAAGATTCTTACATAAGAGGAAGAAACGAAAAGCCACACAGGAGAGGAGAAGGAGCAAGAAATTCCTAGGAAAGCAAACCCAATCATCTCCCCATAAACAAAGCAGAAATGAAAAACCATATCTGCTCATCTCTTCCAAACAGAAACTTTAGCACCGCATCACAAGCAAAAATGGAAAGTCCTGCAAAATAGACCACATACCAAAGCAATATGCTCCAAGAATCAAGCAATTACATCAAAGCAAAGAGTGCTAAACTCAGGTCACCTCGGAGGGTTCATCCTCCTAATGAGCTTGGCGAATTCATCGTCTTCCACATCCATCTCCACCTCCGGGTACCTCCTCATCGTCCCCAAACAAGTGAACTAGACCAAGCTCAAGAGAAAAGAGAGCTCATCTTCTCTCTTCTTCTCCCTGTATATAAGAGAGAGGTGTACAGGGAAGGTAACTTTTGTAAATCAGTCCCTACAATACCTGAAATTTTATTTCTAATTCCTTAAATTGATATAAGCCCTCGACAGGGTAGGTATTTTGGGCATTTAATATTTTCCAGGGATTGATATGTAATTGTAGTTTGTTCATCTCCATCTCCCGCGATCTGACATGGCGATTTCCCATTGGTTCGACGACTGGTTGCTGTGCTGATGGCGTGATTTGAGAAGCGTACACCTGTTATGATATTTTCACGGATGGATTTCGGGAGACGGAGTGGGGGGGAGGGGGAGGGGGGTGTCCGATTAAGCGCCGGCGCGCGTGTGTCGGGGGGAGACTAAAACGTGTGAGGTGTTTGCCACGTGCGTGTGGGCCGCTTCCCGTTATTTCGACGGTGAGACCGGAGAGAGTGACCGGTTCTCCCGACGGCCCAAATTATCTTGTGCGTATCCACGCGCAAAGTCAAAGCATCAAAGAAAAGGAGCGTATTTGGATTTATAATAACGATATTTAGTATGAAGATAATGGGAGGTGGATATTGTGGAGAGAAAGTGGTTGATATTTTGATTAGCTCTACCTAGTGTCATCTAAATGAAAGTTGTTGATATTTAGTATAGAATTATCAGATGTGTCATCTAAACGAAGACTAAAGTTGGGAGAGATTTCTCGACTAGATTCATTCAATGATCAAATTATCTAAATGCGAGTGGTCAAAAAATAATAATCCCTTCATCTTTTTTTTTCTTGTGTTCATATCAACTTTTATACTTAGTCATAAATGGATAAATAATTTATAAAATATTCTACGGAGAGGTAGCCTCCAACCACCTCTTCTTGACCTCTTGTCCACGTGGACGACAAGGAGGTGACGGCATGGGCAAATAGGTGGAGAATGACCTTTGTCTTATTTTTTTCACCTTGGATACTATGTGACGATTATATATCATATAACGATTAGTTAATAATATACTCCTTATCATTTATGCCCTCCCATGTCATGCTTTGAAGCTCTCACGAGAGGGGTCTAAAGTATGGTATCGAGTTCCTCCAGCACATCAAGTTTATAGCTCTTCGATCCATCGTCGACATGGTGGCACGTCGAGTTCATCTAATATTAGTTCATCTGATATGTCTAGTCCAACATGCCCAAGCACTGCCGGTGGTGATCTATAGTCAACCTAACCCTCATATCATCTAGGGACGTACCTTGGTCGAACGGGGTCAAGTTTCCTTACCTCCCCATCTCTTCCGACCTTCATGCTTCGATGGAGGTAGGGGTCGAGCTTCCCGACCTCCACATGTCAAGTAAAGGCGAGGGTCGAGTTTTATAGATTCATGTGTCTTGGACACATTTTGTCTTATGTCTCCTACCATGACGGGTTTCTCCTAATGTAGGTTGGGTTTTTCTAATTCACATGCCTTGGACACATTTTGTCTTATATCTCTCACCATAGCAGATTTCTTTTTACGCGAGTCGGGTTTTCTCAGCTCACGTGTCTCAAGTACATTTTGCTTTGTATCTCCTATCATAACTGGTTTCTTTTGATATTGGTTGGGTTTTCTCGACTCACAAATCTCGAGTTTATTTTGTCTTATGCCTTTCGTCTTGGTGGGTTTTCCGACTCATGTGTCATAGATATATTTCATCTTGTGCCTCCTATTGTGATAAATTTCTTCTAATATGGGTCAGGTTTTTCCAACTCATGCGTCAGGCATATGTTCTATTGTGCCTCCTATCGTGGTATGTTTACTTTGACATGAGTCAGGTTTTTTCGACTTGCGCTTTAGATATATTCTGACATGAGTCTTGTGCCTCCCACCATGGCATGTTTCTTCTGATATGGGTTAAGTTTTCTTAACTCATGCGTCTTGGGCATATTTGGTTTTATGCCTTTTGTCGTGATGAGTTTCTTCTAACACGAGTCGGATTTTTCACACATTAGTCACTTTTACACTTTTTGAGCTGGTCTTCACATATCGATCACTTGTGCAATCTCCGAGATGGTCTTTGTATATTGATCACTTTCATACTCTCCAAGGTGCCCCTTCATCAATCGATGTCTATTCGGAATCGACTCGAAGAAATATCTTTATCACGAGAGGAGAGAGATCAATCCATTCTTTATAAGTCCTCATTGACCATGAAGGGTGAGGTTGATTTTTTCATTTGATCCTTGAAGGCCCCCTTAGGAGCCTTCTCTACTTAGCCTTGGTTCTCTACAAGGTGAATCGATTTATGGGTTCCTCGTCCTCTCGGTGTGTTGGCTCTATAACACTTCAATCTTCTAGTATTATATTCTTCCACCTTCATAGGTCAGGATGTCTTTTTTTTTGTGCATAAGCTTTTCCCGATCTCATGGTTACTGGACGATCAAGGAAATTGATACTCCATTCTTGGATAGCTAAGGGCAAAAAAAGTTTAGACCCGCCCCTCATCAAGGGAGTCAGTTCTTATAAACTTGAAGATTCTTCAGGACTTAGAGTATATGAAAAGCATGTACGATAAAGATTTAGTGGTGAGTATACAACTATTAAACCACTTACGGACTAGGTACTCCATCCTAGTTAAGTTTGATCTACAAATCTCTTGACCTAATTACCATATATTCGACCTTATATTTAGATCATGTTGCTTATCTTTTAATACTCTAGAAATATGACTTCATGTTCTCCTCCACCCGATGATAGTGTTTTGCCACTAATGGTGAAGGATATCACCTTCATAGATAGCACCCAACTCATGGCTTTACTTAGTGGTATTCATGGGGAATACTAGCATGACAATATTACCTCAACCTATAAACTCTTTGTTGCCTGCTTTCGATTGTACAAGAGAAGAAGCGATTACTACCTGACTACTCGAGAGGGCTTTAGAGTTAGCAGTGCCCTTCTAACAATAAGGGTTGAAAAGAGGGTTTATTCATTATAGGTTTCTGTTAGGACTGAGGTTCAATCTTGCCTAGTCGGCACACTCTAAATATAACACACTTCCCTTCTTGTCAGATGAGAAGGTAAATCAAGTGCAAAGATATACTCTCTTCTTTCGAGGCTAATCGAAAGATGGATGAGGACTGATTAATCGATATGGTTCTCATCTTGGCTCCTCAGGGTATGACTTAAATATTTTATCTTCTCACTTATTTTTATTATTTTTTAAAATTAACCCATGTAGCCTCTTAACTTTGATCTCCTACAAGTATAGACTTTCGAGCTTTGATGAAAAAAGAAACTAGTTCCTCTTCAAGTACGATGGTAGGCTCTTAGCTCCTCTAGCTATTGTTTGTAAGTCATCAATAGAGGCATTGGGCCCAACTTGATTCAATTATCCTTCTAGCACCAATAAGTTAAAAAAGAAGAATGTTATGAGGAAGGTGCCTTGCCCTTGATAAGATGAGTAACCCAAGGCGAAGCAGAATCCCATAAAGGAATCGAATGAACTGCCTCCTGCCTTCAAGGCGTCGATGTTCTTAGAGAGCCCCCAAAACTCAAGGTCCTCCTCGGGAAAATGAGAAAAGTGATAGAGTTTAATGTTTAACTTATACAATGACAAGTCCTTGCCCTTCGTAGTATTGCAGATAGCCAACCTACTGAACCCAACCCTAAGCACACCGTTGTAGCCAAGATCGAAGGGTTTATAAGAGGAACAAAAAATATGGGGCGAAGATGGAACTGTGAAGCAATACTATTGAGGGTCTTTGTACTCAAGGGTGGTGAAGCAAATTTATTATTTCCCCTTGGAGGTTTTGATCGACACGTGCTACCATAATGAAGTACTGGTAAGTTAAGTTATGACTAGCCCCCTCAGTTCCTTGTTGCTTACTCTTTTACCTTTGGTTTATAGCATCACCATTACATTATGGCCCTTATTGACCATATACGAGGACGTCAACTCCGTCATTTACCAATAGTCTCTTATGATCGATAATCACCATAAAGAAGTGGAGGGGCTAAAGAAAAAGAGCAGAGACCCGACACTTGTTGCTGAGGTAGAGGCTTAGGGGTCAAGTTGGTGAGGCAATTAGAGGAGGTTAAGTGATGCTTCACTGACTACGCCAAGCGGTTAAAAATAGTTTAGAGTAACATTCGAAATATGGAGAATGAGTTACTGCGACTTACCCGAGAGCTAGATATGATGATATATTTCGAAACTTGTTGAGCAAGTTTAAAGTAATTAATTAATTAATTATATATATATATATATATATATATATATATATATATATATATATATA